AGAGAGAGAGAGAGAGAGAGAGAGAGAGAGAGAGAGAGAGAGAGAATCATTTTACACCAGGGGTTGTCCAGTCCTGGTTTCCAAGGCATGTTTTAGATGTTTCTCTGCTCCAAGACACCTGATTTGAACAACAGATTAACAGGTTTCTGCAGAACCTGAAGAGGTTCAGTCACTGAATCAGTTGTGTTTAGGGATGGGTACCTTTGGCATTTGAATCGATTTGGTACCAATATCCGGTACCTGGGAATTGGTACCAGTACCTAATGATACCAAATTTTGGTACTTTGTGTGTGTGTTGTTTTTTTAATAATGAACTTGTTTTTAACATTAACATCAACACAGCCAAAAACAGAGCAGAACCAAACAACAACATAGATCAGTCCGCCGGCGTTTCCATGACGACCAGCATTACAGACAATACAGTAACTGCTGAAATATCAGTCCTTATATGACACATGGAAGGCAAATAAGTTTAAATTAAATAAGCAAAAGAGGATTGAGTTAAAATAAWTAAAAGGTATTCAAACTATGTTTTGAGCATCCAAAACGCTCYAACRCTTCAAGCTGGCTGCTTGTGATCTTTCAGCTCAGACGTATTTGGACTGTCGGGAAGCGCCTCTGTCGTTTTCCTCTGCCGGTCTCTGTTTAATGGTGGATGAAATAAAGTAAGTGGCGGTACTTTATTTACTTTGAGTAAACGAACGTCATGCTCACAAGATAATTAATCCACCAGATAATTCAGAGGTGGTCTGTTCGGTGAGTTTTACTCCAGGAGCTGCGACGCTTTCATGCTACATTCAGACTGAACTCTTTTTACTGAACCAGCAGCTGCTGATGTCATTACGCTCTTACGTGATGCTGCGTTCAGGACAAGCATGGAAAATCCCCCACTCTTATGCCAATACGGTTGGAATGATGCGTTTAGGTACCAAAACATGGTACCGTTTGATGTTACGTGAACAGGTTCTCAGTAGTACTGACAGAATTTGGTTGGTACTGAAAAAAGTATTGAATTCTGTACCCATCCCTRGTTGTGTTGGAAAATGGAAACAACAACAACTTGTGCTAAATTGTAGCATGATTCAGCAGAGTGCTAAAATCTGTACAACAAAATATGCTACAGAATCTAATATCTGCTAACTGATTTAATAATTAACAGTGATTATGAAGTAATTATTGGGGTTGACATTGGTTTATTTAGTGCACTGATTATAATTACACCACACATAGTCTATTTTGGTTTATGATGGTGGTGTAATGACTGATGAATGTGATTTATGAGTACCTGGATGGTTCTATTTTATTAGCTACATGCCTGAGAACATATATAACACATATGTGTACTTTTAAAATCATTAGGATAGTTTTTAAATTGTTGTTGGGYGTGACTTTGACCAGAATGATAGGGACCCTCTCCTGACCGATGATGTAATTAATAGGCGGAGTCATGCCCTGAAGCTGACGACCTCTGTGACTTCCTTGTTTGGGTCTGATTCCTGGGCAGTRTCGAACAGGTTGTCAACTTTTTAAGCTCATTTTAACTTTAAACTGTTACATTATTAGCTTCAGTTCTGGTCGGATCACATCCACATTRAGGTAAATAAGATCAAAKGTTTTACTTGCGAAATGAAGCACTTCCTCTTTTTTGGTACATCCACAACACACAGTTATCTGGCATTTTTACATTTAAACATACAATCTATTTCATATATTTTATTTTTTATGTTTTTACAAAGCCAGTCCTTATTCAGGCCCGTTCAACTAATATGTACCAAAACATCAAGTTTATTTAATTTATTTACCATTATTTAACCCCAATTGCAAGCGAGGTCTGAAGGCAGCCTAACATGTATGATTTTTTGTCTGCAGGAGGAAACAGGAGAAAACACACACATGCATGAGAACATGCAAACTCTACCCAGAAAGACCCCTGGTCTGAACCAGAATTCGAACGCAGGACCTTCTTGCTGTGAYGCATCGGTACTAACCACTGAGCAGTWCAGACATTTGCCCTCTTAGACAATGGCTGCCGTTGCTACAGTGACTCATGTGACCAATGCACACTCTAGTTGTCTTRTATAGCTCTATGGAGAGTTTATTCACATGATCATGTCACATTAGTTAAAATGGTTTTTGCCAATGAATGATGTGTGCAAGCCTTTTTTCTATTTCTGCCATACATCATTGTTCAACACCACMAACAGAACCTAAAACAAGAACTTCAAACTAAAGTGTTCAAGGGTTAACTGTAACAAAAAACATATATTTTGTGTGTTTTTGGATGACTTTSTACTGTGTATTCTATGAAGTTGCTTCTCAGACATTTTGTTTATGATGTTTTTGAAGAGGCTATAACAGAAGAGAACATTTTCTATTTGTCTGTTTTCTTCTTTCTGAGGTATCTTCAAATTCTGCACCAGACGGCCGCCACACATAAAGAACACAGAAATTATAAGGTAGCAACTTTAATGGCTGCTTCAAATCTATCATCATTCCTTCATGAGCTCAGCCGTATTAACTGGGATTTGAAGGGAAGTGGAGAAATAGAGCCAAGCTAAGACACCGGAGGTCTAAATTATAGGTGTGTATAAGAGTGTGTGAGGTCTGCTTTTTACTGGCTCCAAAGACTAAAAAGGTTCTACCAGAAAAAATAAATAAATAAAAAGCTCAGATGATTTCTTATATTCCTCTTACAGATCATTGGTAAGCTCGTAAACATTTCATTCTAGGACTCCACGCTAAGAAATAAACCTGCAGTGTTTGTGAGGCAGCTGTGCAGAACCAGGAGGACCAACAGCAGTGAGCTTGGAGAGGAGGTGGAAGTGATGAGTAACGGGGGAAAAGAGGAGGAAAAGAGAACAAAAACATTTAGAGACCCACACACTGAGCCTCAGGCTGGGAAAGGAACTAAGTGTGAGGATGGGAGGAGGGAAGAAGCAGTCTGCCTCTCCTCGGTAGCTGCTGCTTTGTTAAATCGGTACGAGGCTGGGTCAGCAGGGGAAACGCGTTCATTTCTTCAGCCCGAATCGAACAAACAGTGAAGACATCACTGAAGACGCGGCACACAAAYTGAACAGTCTCGACTCTGGGAGGGGGAGGTGAATGATTCACAGGATGTCAGCAGTAGTCCAACATTCCTGCTGAGGTTTTTGGTGCTGTGTGAACAATGTGCGACCGCCGACAATAGTTTTCCTTGTGCCGAAGTTCCCACCCTGAACTCTTCATCCTTTTGAAGGAAGGAAAAAAATGTTGCCTCCCTGTGAGACTCAGGTTCTGGAGTTTTCAGTTTGTTTCTCCTCTCTGCGGTTTGTGTTCCTGCTCGGTGTTTTCCACAGATTGACAGCTAATGTAAAACACATTGTTTCCTGTGTTTCGCAAGAGGTTGGAAGAGGAGGTAAAACGGCCAGTGAACTCAAAGCAGTCTTGATGCTTGTATACTTTCAGAGTATGAGGATGACTCGGGGCTATGACCACACCAGATTTCATAGCTTAATAACTGTTCTGTGTCACAGCTCTGTGTTGAATAAGATCATCTTTTACATTTGGCTATTATTCATGTGTGTGTAAAAACTCAAACGTGCATTCACTTTGCATTACGTGCAGACCAAACAGTTTGACAGTGAACTTCTGTGATATCTTTAAATATTTACCATAGCTGAAAATCAGTGCCCTTCATATGCAAAGACACAAACACATAAATCAACTTAATGAARAGCATCGCCTGACTTCTACAGATAATTTCCATCAGAGGAGATGACGCGCCACATATGGGCTGCACTGTTATTCTTYGGATTGTTTGGTAAATTTGTGCGCTTGTTTAAGAGCCGAGCACGATGAGGAGTATGGCCGTCCTGTTCCAGGCACAGAGGGAGCGGTAAACAGTGACCGGCCATGTGTGCTTGTCTGTGATCCTGCACAAAATGAGCACATCTGGGTAACAGACCGTGCTGGAAAAGGAACAAACCAGTGCTCTCGCTTTCTGGGGACGCATTCTTGCAAACCCAAGCGGCCCTCTCCTCCACTGATCATTACGGAGGCTCGCAAARAACCAAAAACCGTTGCAGGTGAAACGACGTCAGAAGGAAATAATAAAAATCCAAGTCATGTCAGGTCTTTACCTCGAGGCAGACTCTAATGACTCTCATGCATATCTAATGCGAGCCTCGCTTCTCCTCAAAAGCTACCTTCACCGTTTAGTTCTGCTTAGATTACATGAGGTCATTACGGYACAGAACCAATAATTCAGCTTTCGAAACAGAAAGGATCTAAACAGCAGGATGTCCTACCTGGAAGGTCACATCCCAGGATCTCCACTCTCATCCCAATCCCTCCTGGAGACCACCTCTCCGGGTACAGCCTGACGTACTGCGCCACTGTCTCCTCAAAGTGCCGGAGCTCCGGGGTGTCGTAGTGCGTGTTCCCCTCGAAGATCTACGCAAAATCAAACCGCTGCACTCAGGAGCTGAACTTGAATTACGCGCGTTTTTTATGCCATCTGTCCTCCTTCRCTCACCTTGGGGAGGCTGGTCCTGCCGTCCATGATGAAGATCCAGTCTTTCCCGTTCAGGCTGTGAGCAGCTTTGTACTTCCTGACAAACGCCCGGTTCTCCGTGGTCGYCCCGCTCGCCGCGTCTCCTCCTCGTGCTCCCTGGGTGATGACCCCACGAACGGTTTTGGGCACACCGAAGTCCACCTGCAGGTGTCAGGTTCAGACAAAACAACACCTGGTTATGCTTTTTTGCAGCAGACCTTGTTTGTCATCATCCAACTGGTATGGGGTTCACAAGGATCCGTTTTTAKTTCAATACTTTTCATTTTGTCCTCAAACAGTATGATACACCTCTGCTGATAGTTTTGGATTGTTTAGACTTGTGGTTCCCACAGTGGTTCATAGAAAATCAAATGGAGGTTCTTGAGATTTAACTGCAAAAGGAAGCCGTAAGCGATATAAAAAGATGGAAAAAGTGGTTGTAAATTGATRAAATGATTTAAAAGCTGTTTGTCTACAGCAACCAACAATAAACTGGAACACAAGTCTCTGCAAAACCTTATTTTATGGGACAGAAGTGAATAAAATTTGGAAAACACCTGGTAACTTAAAGTTAAGGATGGAATCCACATTCTTAAACTGGATCAAAAAAACAAAAAACAAAAAACAAACAAAAAAAAAAAAAACAGGGAGCCGGACATACAGTATTAAACTTTCTGATCCAGAACGGTGCCGCGGCACGGATCTTTGCTAATTTTGAAAAGGTATTTTATTCACCAAAGTATGACTACTGTCAAGGTTTAAAGATACTGTTTGTTTTTAAACCATTAAATGTGTTAAAACCTTTTTGCCCCTCGGTCCAAACTGGATCACTAAAGCCAGGTGATCAGGTGCTCCTAGATGTACCGGAGGACAGATACAATCTTAAGYCTAAAGCTTAAACCTGCTTTTCTCTGCCTCATGAATGCTGGACCAGGTGTCATGTGGGGTTTGCGTCRTTTTGGCTCATCTCGCGCATTTGATTTGTAAAGCTTGTAGCAAAAGTGACGAGTCATAAGACAGGAAGAGCAGCGTGGCAGAACATGTGAATAAGTTCGATGCTGCAGGCAGCCAAAGGACTAAACAAAAAAGAGCCAATCATTAAAAAAGTGTTTCATGAACTTCAGAAACTGACAAGATCTAAWGTTTTAATCTTATTTTATGAGGGAGAAGGTACCATGATGGATACATCTTAAATTTTTTTATCCAGTAGCCACGTTGACTAAGGTCAGAACTGATATAAAAGGGATAGTCCAATTTCTTGACACCATAATTCCATGTTAATGTTTCTCTGTAGCTGAACCCAAATTTTACATCACAGCTAGAYATTAAAACTTGTTCTTTACTATCATTTCTCTTTAAAGTTTGTATTTGTTTAGCTTTATGAAACCATCTGACCTTAACCTTGTTTGGAATCTAATAAGACTTAAACCTGAAATGTTCCTTTTTTTATAAACCAGTATKTCCCCTTCTTCAGTAATCAAAGCTCTGTTGTACCTGCAGCCACTCCTCTCCAGCCAGGGGCTGTGCGGGAGCCGGGAACCAACCCGAGCGACTGGCCACAAGRCGGGCCGTCCCTGGGTTCCACACCACGTCCCTGCTGGACGACGCAGAGATCTGAGTGTCGGGGAGCAGGCCGGACATCAGCCCCTGCAGGTCAGAACATGGAGCATCTGGAACGGAGAAAAGCACAGAAATGACTTCACTCGGSACAGAACTGATGGAGAAGTTAACGTTAAAAAAAAAAAAAAAAGGGCGGCTACGCAAATTCCCACCAGGGAGCTGTTAAGACCTGCCACAGGATTTCTACTCCCGGCCGCCGAGCTTCGAGTGTTCAGACCAGAAGAAGTGGAAAAGGATGAAGTGGGAGGCTGAGGAGCATAAACCGACATGTGTAACACGGCACCGCCGCTTAATGTGCCACGTGCAATTAGACCGCCATTAGCGAGATAAAAGCTCGCGTTAACGCCGCCGCTGCTTTGCATTCAAGCATTTCGTGACTCACACTGATATTTAAGCATCTTTTAATGTTGTTCATCACATTTCTTCGTCTGCTCCGCGTGTTTTATGGGCTGCAGGAAAGTGTCGAGGAGATGTCAAGCGCACTTGGAAAAATTTTGGCGCTGGAAATAACTTGAAGAAGTAAAAAAATATATATATGAGAGGAGGAAATGAGGAGTAAGGGACAAGAAAGGTATAATACGAGACAACTGGGAGGCAGGGGAGACTGGGAGAATGAAAGAAGGAGCCGAAATTGTAGAGATGAGATGCCTACAGAGCAAAACAGCAGGAAGGAAGAAAGAAAGATGGAAGCAGGAGTGAGAGTGGTGGTGGAGGAGGAGGAGGATGGGTTTTGAGAGGTAAGAAAGGCTCGGAGAAGAGGAACAAAGATGAGAAGAAGAGAAAAGGTAGGAGGAAGGAAGCAGGGGGAAGATGTTAGCTGTGCTGACGGTTTAAGAGAACACAGATCAAACTTTCATGCTGTTATGTCACTGCAAATGTAGGCGATGTAAATAATGGATTAAAAAGCCCAGGAAGAGGAGGGTATACGTGTGTCTGCATACGCTTCAAAACATGCACCTGCCGTTGAGGTCATCGATTATATTTAGAAGGTGTGTGTGTATGTTTGTGTGTTTGTGTGTGTGTGTGGTTGTTCTCCTGCTGTTGGAGCTAATAGTTATTTCAATAGCAGCTGTTGAGGCTGAATGGAATCACACTTTCTGATGTAAGAGCGAACAGAGAGCCATGAATGATTGAGCGGGCGAGTCGTTTCCCCCGATCCAAAAAGGAGCTCACAGAGCAAAGAGGAAGCTTCTGAAAGAGTTTCTAAACCGTGAGGTGGAGGGAGGGGGGCTGTCGTGGGAGTTGGAGACAGAAAGCAAGCATGGTGATGAAGTGGAAGAGCGTCAGAAGATTATAATGACACCGGTGGAGGGAAGAACAGCAGAAGCTACTTTTTAATTAGCCTGAGGGTGGCTATTTTTAAAAGTCAACAGGGAAAAAGTCTGAATCAGTTTGACAATTTGTTTAGTTTTTTGTAYTGTTGCGGATCATAAATGTTATGTTTTTCTCAGAGTTGTAAAGTAACTAAGTACAAATACTTTGTTACTGTACTTAAGTAGAATTTTTGGGTATCTGTACTTTACTTGAATAATTATTTTTCAGCCTACTTTTTATTTCTACTCCTTACATTTTTAAAAAAGGCAAGAAGTAGAAAGTCGTTACTTTTATTTCATTTTTGCTTGTTTTCATTCCAGCTTCTTATTGTAAAAAATAAATAATATCCATTTAAATTGTGCATCCTAGATAGAGTGAATTTAATTTTGGTTGAATGACAAGTATAAATATAAAAAACTATTAGTTTGTACACAAACAAATCATGTCACACTCCAGCAGGACATATTCACTAAAATAAAAGGACTGTACTTAAGAAGTATTTGTATTTCATGAATTATATTATTGCATTTGGCTGCAGCCCTCAGATAGATTTTCATTTTGGGGAAAAGTTTTGGGCAGCCTTGATTAATGTATATAAACTGAAACAGCTAAACTGTGCATCCTAAATTTAATATAAATTAATTATTTTAATATGACACTTATTTCTGCATTTTTTTCCCTAATGTTATTACAAAAAATCTAACTGCTCATTTTAAATCAATACTCTTACCTTTAATACTTAAGTACAAAAAATATCAGATAGTTTAAGACTTTTACTCAAGTAATATTCCTAAAGGAGACTTTAACTATTACCAAAGTAAATTTTGGGTAAGATACTTTTACTTTTACTCAAGTATCACTTTGTGGTACTTTATACAACACTGGTTTTTCTGAAGCAGTGTGTGTGTATTTAATGCACAACAGCAGACATTTGTTCCTTAAAAAAATGCGAGCAGGGATTTTTCAGGACTCTAACCTGTAATCTGGCATCCGTACAGCTCAAAGCGAAGCGCGATGCCGTTCTTCCACGACTGAGGTCGGATCCGAACAAAGCGGGCCAAAACTGGCTGCGGGACACGGTTCAGAACCACCTCTGCCGGGTCTGTGTTCGCATGGAAAATCTGAAAAAATAAAACAAATAAAAGATAAACAACAGGGTCAGATGATGGTCTTAAATCTGGTTTAAACACACACATCTCCTGGTGTAACACTCTCCCACTGCGCACAGCTTCGCTCGGCTTCACACACACAGTGGCAGGCCGGACAAAGCACAGACAACCCAAACACGGATCCGATGTCACCATCCCAGCTGTCGATGTGTTCCGGGGTCAGGGGTTCAGCACCGGGAGGCTGGGAAAGCCCGTCAGAACGGAGGTGTTTCCCTCCGTTTCACCTCCGTGCTCACGAGCACCGCTGACTCTACCTGCTGGTGGCCATCAGAACCTGTGAGGGACGCGACCCGACACGACCGAGCGCAGGAAGCGTCTCCGGGAGGACAGGGTGGGAGAGAAACTCACTTCCTAGGGCGTCCACACAAAGCACATCGACATTCACTTCTCCTCCGTCAACGGTCCCTTCCGTTCGTTTGCGCCCAGGTGGCGTGGCTGAGCCGATGGGTCAGAGGGYAACCACAACCAGGGTGCTCAAGCTACTTCCTGTTTTGGCTGTAAAAGTGACCTGAAGTCATAAATGTTTCACACTGSTGTGAATGCTGTCACAGTTTTCCTGTTTATAGTCTCTTTCAYGCATTTTGTTGCAAACTGCTTCTGAATAATTGATGCTATTATAACTATTAATATATCAAAGCGCACAGCTCCAGTGTGCTCTGACTTTTAATATTTAGAACTTTTATACATTTAGAAATATTTATTTTATTTACAAAAACATTTCCCTGTAAGAATGCATGGAGACCTCCTTCAAAAACACTGTTTCTGAAGTGATATTTGCTTTATTTGTCTTCATATGGCTTGACATGATTCAGATTTTAGTTTATGTTTTGCAGGTTGAAGTTTTTAAGTGGTTTTGCCATGTTTAACGTTTAGCAATTTTTCCTTAATTTTTCAGTTCAGCTACAGTTTGGTCATTTGAGCTTTTAGCTACTGTTTTGCTAAGCTTTATGCTACATTTAGCTTTTAGATACAGTTTTGTTGTTTTTTGCTTTTAGCTAAAATTTTGCTACATTTAGTTTTTTCTACTATTTTATGGTTTGACATGATTTGCTTTTTTGCTAAGATTTTGCTAACTTTTGAACATTTAATCTTTTAGCTACCATTATATTTTTTGCATTTATCACTGGTTGTGCTATATTTAGCTTTTAGCTGCTGTTTTGGCCATTTTTTACATTTTATTTTAGTTTTTACCAGTGGTTTTGCCATGTTTCACTAGTTACAATATCCATAATATTAACTTTTAGCTACCATTTTGGTAATGTGAGTATTATGCTACTGTTTTGTTAATTTAAGCTTTTTTCTACTTTTTTGCCAATTATTCAGCTTTTAGCTGATGTTTGGCAATTTTTATTTTAGTTTTTACCCGTAGTTTAGCTATTTTTCACTTTCAGTTACTTTTTCACTAATTTTAACTTTTAGCTACCATTTTGGTAACATGAGCATTAAGCTACTGCTTTGCTAATTTTAGCCTTTAGCTACAATTATGCTACATTTAGCTTTAAGCTACTACTTTACTGATTTCAGCTAATGTTCAGCTTGTTTTAGCTACAGTAATTCTTCCATAAAAATCAGCAGTCATTCGACACTCTGGTTTCACACTAACGTCTTCAGTTATGAATAACTTCCTCCTCTTCCTTCTCCACATCCTGTCTCTATGTCTTTGTTGATTTTTATCTCAAACAGCCATTTTCTTTGTATTTCCCTGCTCTTCCAGCGCACTGTTGATGTCTGTTCACACCTCCTCTTTCGCCTTCTCTTCCCTTTTGTTGGTGGCTAGTAACCAAAACCACACAGACACAGGAAGCCACAGAAACCTACACAAACACACTCAGATAAGCAAAAAAAGGAAGTGGCTTTTTACTTGACTGACTGTTAAGTGTCGCTCAGATTGTCTGTCTGTGGTTGACCGTGTGGTGCTGATGGCTGAGCTGCTGTACAGCCGCGGCTCGCCATGAACAGACGGCAGAACAACAGCTACAAGCAGCTGATTTAAAAATTAAAAGCATAATTTCTAAACAAAGACTCCTACACGCTTTTTCTTTTACTCTAATCTGAGCACAAGATGGTTAAATATTAAGCAGCTGAAATAACTTAGCTGAAACTTGCAAAAAGTAATCAAGCGGGTCACCAACCAAAGCTAGCCAACCTTAAAAACTCAAATAGGTATAATTTGGCCAATTTTACAGATATTGCAGACATCTTTTAATATCATTATGGAAAACAGAATTTTCAAGGTTTGACAAAAGCATCTATATTTTCATTATTTTGCAATTTAAGATAAGTTTAAGACTAAAACTGTGGCATGAAGGGTGGCGGGTTATATGCATTCCTTTAAGGAATGCCAGGCCTTTGTTTTGAAGATATTTTACCCTAATTTTTAATATAAAAGCAGTCAAGTCTATGAGAGTTTAAAATATTGACCTATTTTCCAAATTCTCTCACCCCCCAAAATGATATTCCATAACCTGAGGTAATACGAGCGTCTACAAAATCTGACTCAAGGGGTTTTTATTTGATTTTGGGAATGGCCTGATTAAATCAAGTGGAGCTGACACTGGTAATACAAAGCAGTGTGAGTGTTTGAACAGATAAGCTGGAGCTATCGCTGCTGTAGATAAAGGATAGGCAGCTGCTCTGTTTACCTAAAGGGTATAAGAGTCAATGTGGGTTCTTATGGGGGTTGTGTAAACACCCACGCAACGCTGCCACAAAGACAAGTGCGTGACGAAAGATCTGCCCTCACATACCCGTCTTTGCTGCTCCAAGACACTCCGAAACAAAAAGCAGCAGGTGGGGAAAGACAGGGACATAAAAAAAAGACTGCAGGGAGGATGGGTGCCCTCTGAAGAAGAGTTGAAACCAGATGAAGAGTGAAGAAAGGTCAGAGTGAGGGGACGGGGGTTGAATGGAGGGCACGGGATTTAACTTGGGAAGATGAGTGGAGGAATGGGGAACAGGAGGCAGGGAGAGGTGGTGAAGAAGAACAACAAACAGATCCATCACTCAAACAGGAAGTGCTCCGTCTAAGCGTTTATCTCTGAACGAGGCAATACAGCCCAGTTCTGTGGAATTTCCTCAATTTTGAAGTAAAATACTGGAACTATTAGCTCGGTTCTTATAAAGTGGGATTCTGTGTAAAGGCTATGARCAATCAAAATCTAACCTGTTAAAGACAACATTTTATATTTAATTATGAGCAGACACCAAAGCCAAAGCCTAGCTCAAGAAGAACTAAAACCAAAGTGGGTTGTAGTGATTTGTTTTTTCTTAAACCTTTTTTTTTTGTATTTTTTAAAGAAAAGCACAAACAGCAAATTAACATTTTCAGGTGCAGTCGTGGGAAGATGCAGCAGGAAAATAAGGTTAGAATAACCATTTCATTTAAAACCGACAGCAGCTGAAAGGTTTATTAAAAAAAGTGTTTTCATTCCCCTTCCACAGAACGGCACTTCAAAAACTTTCAACTATTGTTTTAAAGACTAACACCAAAAGAAGCTTGTTCAAACAGTATGAGTCAATTATCAGAACAAAGTTGTGGTCAAATAAAGTAAACAAGCACCTGACTCTTGGAGGCAACTGATGCCAAAAGTGGTTCATTTTCAATCTGTGTTGTAAAAAATAAATGGTAAGATAATAGTTTAAAGAAACAACAGCATGTTTACATTAATAAATAGTCCAAAATCTCTTAGTACAGAACCATTTCAGTGATTTTTTTTGTTGAATGCAAAATTACTGGCCACACTAAAATACATTAATGATGCATTGCAACTCTGCTGGAAGCCTATGTTTTTTTTGTTTGTTTGCTTTCATCTTTGGATTAAAGCAAGGAATGTGTCCAACATTRCTGTCACGAACAGAACAGGTCGTTCTGTAGGAATCAGCAATAAAGAAGCTYATCTTTGTATAATAAACGTGCAGAAAGAGAGAGAACCCCCAACCACCAAACAATAGAAAGCCAAGAAGTTGTCGATCTTAGATTCCTCTTCCCCCTTCACTTCCTCCACTCTTTTGTCAGAACACCTGAAAGGTCTCTTATTTGACTCTTAAGGTTAAAGGTTAATGGCGTTAGGAAACAGATGGTTGATCACTGACTAACTTGTTGATAACATGGATACTTTTTGACCATCTTGGAATGAAGTGGGCAACGTGGTTTCTAAAGTAAATCTGTACTTGTGTGTTGTGACGAGGAGGAGAAGAGAAGGCCTTCTCTGTAATCTGCCAGACGACAGGCTGCTTCCCACCCCTCACGTGACATCCCATTGAGGTAGGTTGAATAATTAATGCTGCCATGTTGTGTCTCGTTGTGTGGAGGGTCATGAAATTATAACGAAGACCCCATTGCGCACACACTCACACACACACACAGTAGGAGGAGGAGGTGGCGACGGTCAGACTTGTTTGTGTACCGCGGGTTTTTAACTATTAATGACTGTTCTGTGAAAGAGGTCACCCGGAAAAGGTGTGTCTGTTTCTGAGAATCTAACCTTTATTTAAACCATTGAATGTAGGAGAARCTAAAGATCAGCATTCCTTAAAAGTATGCATTTCACTCGCCAGAGTTTAGAGKTCTTATACTTTACAAGACGTAAGACACTGGATCTCCCAGGAGTGATTTTGAGATGGCCTTTCTTATATGGAAAAATTGACCTTAAAGAGAAACTACGAGGTAGAAGTCCTGGTAATCTCTCTTACTGCAGCAAACGTCACGTGCAAACATAAAACTTGTTGTGAAGAGACCATCACCGTTTCCGACAAACAGTGTGGGAAAGTGTCCCTACGCTGCCTGGAAAAGGCACACTTCTGCCCGGTTAGCGCAGCCAAAATGAGCCGCCTGTGTCTCCACGCTGTTGCCTCCCTGCACAGAAACTGTTGGATCTTCTCCTATGAGTTCTGTGACAATCTTTTGACTTTTTACTAGAACATCTTTATCATTTTTGCTGGAACAACTGTAA